TGAGTTCCAGGACAGGCAGGGCTACACAGAGAAACCCTGTCTCGAAAAACCAAACCAAACCAAACCAAACCAAACCAAACACAACAAACTATAATTCTCACTATTTTTAAGCATGAGAAAAAATAGTCTAAAAGTCTCAGTCAACTTTTTCTAATACAGTTTCTTAGTTCTGCATTTTAATCTCAGCTCATCCGCTCTGTAAACATTAGCATCAGTAACAATGGCTTAGGAACAACGACAGAATTCTTGTCACCTAAAGTGACCTTTCTGCATGTTTACCAGCTCCCACCCAGGGCCTAACATCCCTGTCAGTCCCCAGGCGTAGCTCTGGGGCCTACACAGTCCAGGTGGGGCTGCTCTCTCCTGCCTCAAGGGAAACCAGTGCCCTCACCGCCCTCACAGGTCTCAGGAAATGCAGACGCCTCAAGATTTTGGGGACAAGAGGCATAATGCACCCTAACTGGCGAGCTTCATTCTGGCACGCAGCCAAGCCTGTTGCCCATGCACAGCACAATGTGTCCCCTCCCCCTGCACGATCTGGAAAGGAAACGGGAGTCCCGTGGCACAGAGGGACAGAGTTCCTGCTTCGAAAACCGACTTCACTTCTAGAAATGGGGGCTGAGTGACAGCAAGGGCTTTGTGATGAACCTGGAAAGCCGTGTGGACCAGCTGCCTGGTGTGGGAAAGAAGGCAACAGAACGGCCATGCAGGCCTTCCTAGCTGGACCTGTGTGCACACCACTCCACCGGTGATGCTCTCCCCTTCCTCCTCCCCAGAGTAAGTGGAAGCCGGTGACCACGGCTGCCCAATGTACTCCCTTTGTTAGGACAACTTAGGACAACGACGACGACAGTAAGAGAACAAGCATGCACTCAGCACATCACACACAGACGCACAGGCACACACACATACACACACACACACACAGACACACATACAGACACATGGACACATACACATAGACACACACATGCAGACATAGACACACACAGATACACGGACACACACACATAGACACACACACACAGACATAGACACACACACATACAGACATAGACACACATATACAGACACACATACACACACAGACAGACATAGACACACACACATAGACATAGACACACATAGACACACACATGCAGACAGACACACATACACACACACATACAGACATAGACACACATATACAGACACACGGACACACACACATAGACACACACACACATAGACATAGACACACATATACAGACACACGGACACACACACATAGACACACATGCAGACATAGACACACACACATACACACACACAGACATAGACACACACACACACACACACACACACACACACACACACACACACATCGAAGGAGTCTCCACTGAAGTAGCTCTACACTCTGTCCAGTTGCCACAGCAAATGCAGGCTGGGAAGCGGCAGGCCAGATTAGGAGGACCAGCAGGACATTTCTTATCCACGTTTAAAAGATCTTCAACTGTTGAAAAACTGGGCTAGTAAGTTGTCCTGTTTGTTGTTGTTTCTGTTTGTATTCAGACAGAGTCACTCTATTATGTAGCCCAGGCTGTCCTGGAACTCACTTTGTAGACCAGGCTGGCCTCAAACCTGCAGAGATCTGCCTACCTCTGCTTCCCAAGAGCTGGGATTAAAGGCCATGCCACCACACACGGTACCAACCTAACTTTATAGAAACGAGACACTAAGTGGCCACGCACAAGGACTAGGTTTTAAATTATTTTACTTATGAATCAAATTCATAATTTATAAGCCTATACAGGCTCTTATTATACAAATTACATAAAATTTAATCAGAACAACTGCCATGCCTATAAAAGTAGTGTCCTGGAAAGATTCTAGATTGGAAACATACGTTCTGATTTCAGGTAGAATGTGACCAGGATGCAGCTGTTTGCCTAGCATGTTCAAGAGCCTGGGTTCAGTGCCCAGCATTAGAAAGGGAAGAGGGGGCGGGGAAGAGTAGGATGTTTTGTGGAGCCATGCATGAGCAGTGGAAACCCGAGACTTCAGTTACCCAGAATGGTCCCTTCACTCTAACCCCTCAAAGTCACAGCTTTGGAAAGACATGTCTTTAGATTAAACATACAGACCCGAAAACACTCACTGGAGTGAGGCTTTTCCCAGCATCCTCACACCCACTTTCTGAGGGGCGTTCTTGAGTTTTCAGCTCTGGGCCATTTGACTAAACCAACCTGAAAACAAAGCTAGCTAGCCCGAGGGGGAGGGAGGACTCCACAGTCCGCAGCAGGTGGCACTGTGTACCCCTACCGAGTCAACAGGACCTTCAGACTTCTGCACCTGCACCCTGCACAAGCCCAGTCTCCAGTCAAGACTGCAGTTCATCTCACTTGCCAACACAGCTCCACAATCCAGTTCCTCTGCTGTGTATTATAGAACCTGTTAATATGAAATTGTCGCCACGTCATGATTAAATATTGCCTGTTCAGAACAGTGTCCTTAGGGAAAACTAAGCTCTAGACAAATTACTTTCTCAAACTTTTTACTCAGTTGTGTGACTTAAGCAAGCTGCATTCGCTCACACCACCCACTGAGTCTTTGGTGATTCTCCTGCCTCAGCCTTTCAAGGGATTGGAAGCATTTCCCACCACGCCTGATTTACATTATCAATTCTGAAAGTACTCAACTGTTTAAGATAAACTTCGAGATTACTTGTTGTGAGCTAGTTTCTTGCTAGATTAGGATGGTAACCAGAAACCAAAACCATTTCAAACTGTTCACAGACAAATCACGAGCTTTGATTATAGTGGGGTTTTTTTTGGTCAGCAAAAAGGTTTGGGACAGTTCAGTGGGTAAAGGATCTCTGGGCTTCCGCTTCCGCTGCCAGCCTCGTGCCCTGAGTTCCACCCTCGGGACCCCCATCGGAAGGAGAGGTCACTCCTGAGGGTTGCTCATCTACCTGCACATACGTGCCGTGTCTGCAACCATACACCACACTTCCCGCCACACACACACAGTAACCAGGCTAGAAGACCAGCTCCGGGCCACCCTCAGCTACCTTCAGGAAGAGTCTGAGAGTTGGTTAGGTTATAAGAGATCACATCTCAAAACCAAAGGGTAAAACTAAACCAAGCAGACATCCCCTCAAGACCGCTAACTGCATTTATTATGACCTTGTCCAACTCATCTTTCTTTTTAAAAAATGAATAAAGACGTGTATTACATCCTTTATAGTATGACAAAATGTACTATACTATTTGTTAAAGAAATGTTTTAAAATAAGGATTAACATATCCTCATTATCCACACATAGCAACTGTGAAGCACGGTGATATCTTTCCTTAGTCCTGAGGGTGTGTGTGTGTGTGTGTGTGTTAGATATAAATCACCTGACAGTACACAGAAAAGATTGGTGAGGTAATCTGACTTTCAGATGAAAATGGAATGAGAGAATCTGCTTGTTGATAGCATTTTTGCCTTCACTGGAATTCCTCACTGTTTCTGCTGCTCACTACTCTTTGTCCCCCCTTTCTTACATTCAACAGAGTCATTACGGACACCCCACTCTTACCTCTCAACCTTTTTTAAACTCTACAGGCGATAAAGAAGTACCCCCCCCCAAAGTCAACCCAAGGAGTGTGATTAGCAGGCAGTTACTGCACAGCATGGATACACTACATGCTCGGGTCACTCACCTAGGGCAGAAGGAGACCGACAGGCTATGACTGCGCTCTGCTGCGTGGAACCATGTGCAATTAAAACTACTAGCTGTTTATTTAGAGAACTTTCCATTTAATATATTCAGACATGGTTGACGGTGGAATTGAAACTGTGGAAAAGAAGACCTCAGAGAAAGGGGAGCCCTTTGTTCATGTGTTCAAATTTAACAGATATGCCAAGCTGTCTGAGTGTCTGTAATTTGGAATCTTTTACATTTTTTAAAAATGTTTTTGATGACCACATCACATTTTTGTATTGTTTATTTATGTTAATTTTTTTGAGACAGGGTCTCTCTGTTATGTAGCTCTAGTTGTCCTTGAACTCACCTGCCTCTGCCTCCAGAGTGCTGGGATCAAAAGCCTGCACCACCAAACCTGATAGTTTTTTAAAAACAAAAACCAAACCAAACCAAAAACAAACGAACAAACAAAAAACCCAGAGTCTAAATATGTAGCCCAGGCTGGCTTAGAATTCACTCTGTAATCCAAGCTGGCCTCAAACCTGCAATCCTCTTTTCTTTCCCTCCTGAGTGCTAAGCTCACAGGCTGTACTTCTTTTCTTATCCCTGTTCCTGACCCTGCATCAAGCTCTTCATGAATATTGCCAAGGTCTACCTTGTGGCTACCATCCTCCAAGTCTGGCACGTGAGCTCCTTTACTTTAGTTAAGACTATACCTGCCCATCCCATTAGAGTGAAGAAACATGCAGTGTGTGCCTACTGTATACAGGGCTCCACGCTGGGTGTTGGGGAGATAAGACAGCACATGACAGGCTAACCACCTTTGTGACTCCACGTGAGCCCTGTAGACACTCCACAGGAGCATGTCTGCATGGAATTGAGAAGTCTTTTCATTACAGATGTACACAAAGGAATCTTAAAAACACTGGAAGCGGGCGGGGGGTGGGGGGGATGGCGATCTGCAAAGACAAGTTTTCAATAAAAAATATTGATAACAGAATGCAGAGTGAGGAAACACAGGCAAAAAAAACCCAACAACCAACAATAAATTGGTTATTATCTTCAAGGTCAGACAGCCTGGCTCAGGCTTTTTAAACCACACTAGTGACATATTTACCTGTCTGTGTGGGGCACCGTGTAGTTCAGATGAGCTAGCTAAGTCCTGGCGGGGTTATTAACATGCTCATGAAAATGCACGTAAACTGTAAACTACTATAAGTGAAATCATATTTTAAAGTGAGCATGCTAATCCTGCTAGGATTCTTTCCAAAATAAAACAGCAAGCAAATTCACCAACAAAGACAGTCTCTCAGCAGCTCATCTGTCCTGGAAGGCCAGAGTAGGGCCCTGGGCCATCTCTGCATTTGGCATTTCCCTTGCTGGCCGGGACAAGGGGCTTTACGTTTCTCAAGAGAGCACCAGGTCCTGGGATTGCCTCAACTTCTCTTCAGGGTCATGACCTCTGCAGACTTGTAAAAGTTCTTAAGAGACATGGAAAAGCGGCAGTCGGATGGCTGCTCTCTGTCCCTTTCCAGACTAATGAGGACAAGTGGCCCTCAATTTTCACTGCTGCTGACATACGAACTTGTAGCAGTTCTTTTAAGTTGTGGCTTCTAATCTATTACGGACTTGGGAACCAGATGGCTAAGCTTGTTAAAACCA